CCGTTTTCTCCTGTATCACCTCCATTAGTTAATGACACCACCATTCTGTCGGTCACTCACACTAGGAATCATGTGGGTTTCTTCTGAATTTTTTCTCACATGGCATTGGTTGTTAAACTCTGGCTTTTGCTATGTGATATATCTACCCCCTCCTTTCCTTTCTCATAGCTACCTTACTAGTTTTCTCTGTCTCTTAATATCTTTTGCATCGTCATGTATCCTGTTTTCCCTTCCCTTATGTCTAGAAAAGGAGCCCTGGTGGCACATGGTTAAGCATTTGCCTGCTAACCAAAAGGTCAGTAGTTCGAATCCACCAGCAGCTCCTTAGAAACCTTATGGGGCAGTTGTACTCTGTCCAATAGGGTTGCTATGAGTAGGAATTGACCTAAGACTAAAAACCTTTGTAAATTTTTAACTCCATTGATGAATTCTACTTTCATCTATTTTTTGTCATTCATTGATTTAGTCATTCAACAAAGATTTATTGAGCACGTAATATTTACCAGGTACTTAATCTCTGGGGGTGCCCTGGTGGTAAAGACCTATGGCTGCTAATCAGAAGGTTGGCAGTTTGAATCCAACAGCTGCTCCTTGGAAACTGTATTGGGGCAGTTCTACTCTGCCCTATAGGGTTGCTATGAGTCAGAATTGATTCGATGGCGATGAGTTTGTTTTTTTTTTTTTTTTTGGTTAGTCTCTGGGAATGGAAGAAAAGAGATAAAAATCCCTGCCCTCATTAAAGTAGGCAAAAATCAAGACAAATAATTAAAGTGTACAGTATTAATAAATATGCTTTAAAAATAGTATATTTAATCATAAGAAGTGCTAAGGAGAAAAATATTAAGCAGGGAAGGAAAAGAAAGTTTCAGGCAGAAGAAAGAGCAGTTTTGTGCACACCTCTGTTCACAAACATACTCAAATCTCCCAATTTAAAAACAAGCTGGCAAACAGGGAAAAAACAAAGTATTTCCCTAACTAGCTATTCTGGTTCTTGGCTTCCTTTTTTTCTGCCAAACCTTTCCAAAAGAATAATCTACACCCTGCCTCTATTTCTTTTACTTAATTTCTTAATTTATTCCTATCTTATCTCCCCTCTCCCATAGATTTTGTTCTCTGGGAAGGTTGGCAACTTCCAGGTTGGCAGATCTAAAGGCCTCTTCCCTCTCCTCAGTTCTCCTGCTCCCTCCTCTTTCTGTAATACTCCATTTCTCTGGAGTGCAGCCTCCTCCTTCATGAAGCTTCCTTTGGTTTTCATGATTTGGACTTTTCTGTTTCCCCTGTTATTTTAATGATTGCTCCTTTGCCTCCACAGGTGATTCTCCTTTTTCCTTCTGTCAATTGTCATGCGGGGTTTCCATAAAAAACAAAACCCAGAAGAAAAAAAAAAAACACTAATCTCTCTCTCCTTATTTCTGTACCTGCTTATCTCAGTCTCTATGGTGATCTTATCCTTTCTTGTGGCTGTAGTGTTCTCTGAGTGTGTCCAACAGATTTCTCTTTTTTGGATTCCAAAATATCTCCACCTCGGTGTTCCATGTAATAAGGAAACTTCAAGGGGTCTAAAATTTTTGTCTCCTTTTCAAATGCCTGATTTATTCTTTCTGAGAGTGACTTAGGTCTCAGTCATCTGGGCTCATAGTAACCACTATTTACTTACTCTGTTCTAGTACTTTGTAAGTTATTTAACCCTAGATCCATTGCCGTCAAGTCGATTCCAACTCATAGCGACGCTATAAGACAGAGAAGAACTGCCCCACAGAGTTTCCAAGGAGCGACTGGTGGATTTGAACTGTTGACCTTTTGGTTAGCAGCCAAATGCTTAACCAGGGCGCCCACACAAATGCCATAATATATGTATCATCCCTCTTAGACATAAAATAAATTTAGAGAAGTTAATTAATTTTCCTAAGTTCTGGAGCTAGTAAGTGGCAGAATTCCCTGTTGCCTAGAATGAAGGCTACAAATTTGTAACCTTGCATGATGTGGCCCCAACTCTAAGGTATCCTGGTGGTAGCTATAAGGACCCAAAAAAACCAAACCCTTTGTCATCAAGTGGATCCCAGCTCATAGTGACTCTATAGGGTCCCTATGAACTATAAAGACACAGTCGACCTGAAACAGGGAGCCCTGGTGGCATAGTGCATAAGAGCTAAGGTGTGCTACAGCTGTTAACCAAAAGGTCGGCAGTTGAAATCCACCAGCTGCTCCTTGGAAACCCTATGGAGCAGTTCCACCCTGTCCTATAGGGTTGCTATGAGTTGGAATTGACTCCATGGCAATGGGTTTTTTTTTGTTCTGTGACCTCTGACAAGTAATTTTTTGAAAACCTACCTGAGGATCATGATTCTTGTTTCTAAAATGAGGCTATTAGACCAAGTGCTCTATTCCAAGATAATTTGAGTGGAAGAAGTATAGTTTTGTTTTGTTTTTTCCCAGTGTGGAATAACTGGGTTAGAATTCAAGGTCAACATTCGTTTGACACTGGGCATAGTAACAGCCTGTGAGCCTCAGTTCAACTGTTAAATCATTTGAAGCATGTCTCCACAGGAGCATTGTTTCAAGAAGTAAATGAAACAATGTGTGTGAAACACTGAGTGCTGTGACTATAACAAAGTAAATCCTCTATATTTTCTATTAATTCTTTTATTGTTCTGGGAACTTTGGAGTGCTCTTTATAGCTCTTGTCCTATTTATTATATTTATCCTGTCTTATCAATTCAGGAAATTATAAACTCCTTGGGAGCAAAACTTGTGTATCACTTATTTACTATCTTTATATTCTTTTAGTGATGTATTAGTATATATAATAGGTGCTCAGTATTTTAAAAGGATAATTTCAAAAGTACCCTTATCTTTCTAAGTTTGACAGAAGTTTCATTTACAAATTATAAAGGTGTTTACTGTGTTTCTGGCACTCTTTGTTTGGCCACGCTAAAGTCAAATGTTGGGTTTTCAGTGATTTGGGGAGTTCAGAATATTCTCCCACTTTGTAGATAGCGTAAGATGGCTTAAGACACACGCGGACTCCAATATCAAGAAGCCTATTCAGAATTACGTACTTACAGGAAGCAATTATAGGGGATTAAAAATGGAACCTTTCTTACTCTCAAGGAAACTACAGAATAATGCAGAGAATAAGCTATAAATATTTGGAAGAAGTAAAGACATGAAGACACGGACACTGAGATTACCATTACAAAGTTATAAAGCATCCTAGGGACAACTAGATACTAATTTTTCCATCAAGTTTGAATGCTGAAAGAAGCAAAGATAAGATATAAATAGAAATATACCAATTTGTAAATCTATAAGGCATGAAGTTTGCCAAAAGGAAAGTTTCCCAGTATCATTTTGTGGCTTTGTTGTAATCCTGGTCTCTCACCTATGGCTTTTGAGCACCATGACAAGGGGCTAACTGCTATTCACTTTTATTTAATAACTGTTTCTATTCACCTTCCCCACTCCATCCTCTCCACTAGGGGCGGATTAGCCAGTAAGCAAGGTAAGCGTGGGCTTACTTGTGCTTACTTACTACACACATCAGTGGTGAAACCATGTGAAATTGTTGACGACAGATTAGTAAGTAAGCACAAGTAAGCCCATTCTTACCTTGCTAACTGGATCATCCGCCCCTGTCAGGGATCATAAATTTGAAAAGAGGCTTTGATTCTGTAGGAAGGTGCTGCGGTGCTGGGAGAAAGGCAGATGGCAGCCATACCTAGAAGCAGAATCTTCAATGTGAAAAAATGTGAAATTGTTCGCTACAGATGATCTAGTAAGCAAGGTAAGCACTGTGCTTACCTTGCCAATTGGATAATCTGCCCGTGCTCACCACTGAATAAATACTACCTGGAAGGTCGATAACCCTTGGGCAAACTTTAAGACTTCATATGAGAGTTGGCTTCATAGAATTTTAACATATTTTCACAAGCACTGGATTAATTTCATTCACAAAAGTTAAATGTGTTAATTTTCCAGTTGATTTCAGAATGAAAACTAAACAATCAATAGTTTATTATTTATGCAAATGTTGATGTTATGCTTTTCTTTCCTAACAAGAAAGGTATTGTTTTTTTAACTATAAAAATGGTAGTTGTAAAATAGTTCCCTAAGTAATTGACTGCATGTGTCTATTCCATTCCCATTCTTAATGGCAATGCACATTATTCAAATCCTATCATCCAGCATGCTTATCATCAGACTTAGTGGATGGGGCAGTAAGAAGAATTCTGTTTAATTATATCATAGTTTAATTCTAGGCATACCATAAAGTCCACTGTCCTGATGAGCTTTGTCAGCAGTAGTGATAATAAATGAAACAAATAATCTTTGGTTGAACTGTTTCTAAATTACCCAGAATCAAGTAGTCTTGCTATAGATCAAAGCAGATCACTTGTCAGGTAATTATTTGTACACTATATTCTTAATCTGTTAAACCCATTGTCCTCAAGTCAATTCAGACTCATAGCAACCCTGTAGGACAGAGTAGAACTACCCCATAGGGTTTCTAAGGAGCGGCTGATGACCTTTTGTTTAGCAGCTGAGCTCTTTTTATATATGTTAAATATTCTCATTATCCTCTGATGGACAGAGTGAAAGCAAACTGCTTCCTAGGAATGAAGTAGCTAATGATTTCACAGTTCTAGAATGTTTTTAGATAAATGATCTCCAAACAGGTGCCTAGTTAAGAAAGAAAAATGGGCAAAGGTAAATGGCTCCAGTGGTTTTATTCTTACTTTAACTCAATTTGAAGTTAAGCTCACTGGGACTAATGTATTTTAATTTGAAGATCAGTAATAAAGGGTATTCAAAAAGTCTTTTTAAAACCTTATTGTCAGGTATCAAATGAAATAATGTACCACTATCATTGTTGGATTTTGTATCCTGAATAACTAGTATGCTTTGAGTACTTAGTATTTACTGATGGAGAGTGGTAATTTGCATTTGTGTATACTAAAAAAAAAAAATTTGTAAAGGTCATCTTTCCTTTTTTGTAACAGGTTCTTCTTGCTTTGTTGGTGATTGCATCACCTGGATTAGGCCTAGGACTTAGACGCAGCAAACCAGAGTCACAAGGTATACCCCTTACCATTTTTCTCAGAATATTCCCTTATTCTTATTTTCTGTCCTTAACCAGTTAAAACCTAGCTCCCTGCCCAAAGCCTCCTTTCTGCTTTATGGAGTTCTCTTCTTCTAGGCTTTTCCTTCTCCCACACTCACTTATCAGGAGCCTAGATCTGTGGTTATCATTATCCACTGCATTTCTGAATTCGACTCTTTCATCCTTTGACTCTTTGAGTCTTCTACAAAAACGCATATGAGATTCATATCATTCCAGTGTTTCCTCCTTACCCTTCTTCACTTTTATAGAGGACTTTGATAACTGGATCCCAAAACCTTTCTTTCCCACCTCCTACTGCAATCATGAATATCTGATTACGTCTAGTGTCCAGCCACTTGTCCTTGAAAGTCTTTGTTGCTGTACTCCCATGAGCACCTCCTCCTGTCCCTACGCCTGCACCTTGATATCACTGTAGCATTGCTCCATCTGTGGTCTCAGATTTCAGTGCATAGCAATCTCTTCACTACTTAATGCCAAATTCTTGAAAAGTAGTGCATAATAAAAGTTTTCAATTTTTTTTTCAGAAGCAAAGAAAAATAGGAGATACATGTCTCCAAATATGAAAACGCCTCATAGACTTTTTGCCATATCCCATTAGTATGAACAGTAAATAAACAATTTATAAGTGACTATATAAAAAGTGAAGGAGCCCTGGTGGCTAAATGGTTAAGTGCCCAGCTGCTAACCAAAAGGTAGGCAGTTTGAATTCAGCAGTGGCTGTGCTGGAGAAAAGACCTGGCTATCTGCTCCCCTAAAGATTACAGCCTAGGAAACCTTATGGGGCAGTTCTGCTTTGCCCTATATGGTTGCTCTGAGTCAGAATCAACTTGACAGCACCCAATGACAACATAAAAAGCACTGTCTGTAAGCACCCTATGTATTGTTTTGATACTTTTACTAAAGGGAAGTATGATGCTTCGTATTAAATAATTCATTCCATTTTCAATTTGATTCGTAAGGTCTAGTTTGACTCTAGTGCGGAAAGTCTTATCACTTTTTCATTAGGAAGACCCTTGGTGAAGTTAATTGACAATTTTCTAGTCATGTTTACACTTAAGAATTAACCCTCAGTCATCCTAGCACAGCATGGAAACACAGTGGAGGTCAAAAGGTGACTATTAGGCTGGGAAATTGCTGTGTTCTCTTGGCTGGTCAGTTGGCCATTGTGTTTCTGAACTCTGGTGCCAGTTCCAGATCTAACAAACATTGGCAGGCTATTTTAGTAGTAGTATTCTGATGTTAGTGCACACGAGTGGACACCATTTCTTCGTTATTTTATCTCACAAATCACATAAATTAATTGCTAAAAGCATATACTGAATCTCTGAACGAACCTATTATTGCAGCTCTTTCACTCTCTTCCTTACTTTAAATCTTTACTCTGATATTTTCCATCACTTTGTTTTACTTCCCCACCTTTATCTTGTAAGCCCTTGTATTAGTTTTCTGTTGCTGTGTAACAAATTACTACAAATATAGCAGCTTTAAACAACACAAACAAATTATGTCACAATTTTGGTAGATGAAGTCTGGCACAGTGTGGCTGGATTCCCTGCTCAAGGTCTTACCGGGGTACAATCAAGGTTATTGGTCAGGCTTGCAGTTCTTATCTCAGACTTGCCGATCCCCTTCCAAGGTCACCATTTGTTGGCAGAATTGATTTCAGTCTCACACTGATTAATAGTGTTAATTACATATGAAAAAAATCCCTCTGCCATGTAAAGCAATGTATTACAATCCCAGGGACTAGGGCGTGGAATCTTTTTAGGATCCTAATTCTACTTACCACACCCCTCTATTGAATTTTTTATTACTACTCTCGTATATTCATTTCCCAGAGTACCCTAAATGTTATTTTTTAGAGATTTCTATTTTATTTCATAGATATATCTTCTCTATTTTCTGAAGATCTCAATTTGAGTAGCACGTATGTGTGTGTGTAACTGTTCTGCTCCCCTCATTGTTTCCTTTTCAACCAAGTTTCTTCTCTGTTATTTGTTTTGTTCTTTGTCTTCCATGCTGGATGGTATTCTGTTATCCTGAAATGTCTAGTAATCACCTGTTCAAATTTAAGAGTAAGGCTTATTTACATTTCCTCCTCGTAGGGATCCTACTCTATGTCTGCTGTCTCAGGGATGAAAGCCACTCATCCTAAATTCTTCCAGATTATGAGCCTCCTATTCATGGGTGAGAGGTGGATGGGTAATCATTGCTGCATATCCAGACTCTCAATCAGTTCCCTGTATTTAGTCTTGTGCCTGTTGTCCCTACCCTCAGCTACTGGGACCTGGTGTCTCCGTGTCTGGTTCCTCTCTGGGGCCCTGGGGAGAAGGCACTTGTGTCTTCCCGTAGACACATAGTTGTTGCTTTCTTCATCCTGTTATTTCTTTCTTTCAAACATTTTTTTTTTTTTCTGCTTCCATTTTCTATTCAATGCAGCACACAGCAGTGGCCTATTTAACTTATTGTCTAGGCACAGGGCTGCTGTTGATTTTAGTCACTGATTCCTACCAGGTGGCAGTAGGAAGCAGCCTCTTGCATTTTTTTTAAGGAGTGAGATTTATTTAAACTAATCTCCTACCAAGTATATAGCCTGGGAGAAGACTGGAGGCATGGTTGAGAGCTGATCTACCACTTCTGTCACTGTCATCTGGGAGGCACCTGGCCTGCCTACATTCTTGCAGACCTGATGGTGCACCTGTTACTTCTGTTGTCACTGTCTCTTCCTTGCTACCTATCCTTAGATCAGGGTGGGTTAAACTGCCCCTGGGTGCCAATAATCAATCAGGGCTTAGTGATTCTTCACCATTGGGAGCTCTTGCCCTTGGGTGGGAATAGGATCGGTATTCAGAGTTTCTCCAAACTCAGAGATATACCTGCTAGTAGAACAGAGCTGCAGTTAACAAAGCTGCATTTCTGCCATTCATGCTAAATGAAGAAAAGTGGTGAATTGCTCCTCATTTTGTATTATGTATTTTCCTTCGTTAATGCAGACAAACCAAGCATTTGACAGTTTGACGATAATATGGGGGAAAATGCATGAAAATTTCTATTTTCTGTATTGAATACTTAAACTTAATTAAATACTCAGAACTGAATTGTGCAATTTTACAGCTAAAATATGGACCTGCAATAAATTTCGCTGTGGGGAGACTAGACTAGAATCTAGCCTTTGCTCTTGCTCGGATGACTGTTTGCAGAGGAAAGACTGCTGTACTGATTATCAGAGTGTTTGCCAAGGTAAGCAGATGGATGTTGACAACCCATTTGTCACTGTGAGTTCAGTGATCCTAGAGCTGGCCTAGGCTGCAGAAATTAAAAGAGAGGATCTTAAGCTACTTCGTACAGAAGAAAAGATGAAATTTGTTTTCTGTGGAAAGAAATGTGGCTTGTGTACTATAGAAGAAGGGAGTATACTACAGAGGAAGGGAGCTTGTAACATAAATATCATAGAGAAAAAGATAGAGCTTAAAACCCCCTATTTGTAGGTAAGACAAGATCTTTTTCAATCCAGTGACCATGGCAGAGACATACTTGCGGTTTGAGACACTGGGTGGCAAATCTTAAAGTTAAAACACTATGAAAGAGGTTATCTGGCCCAAATAGTAGTCCATTATACCAATGTTGTTACTGTTGAAACAACTGTGTCCTGAATCTTTAAATGACCGATGAAGGATCTTCAGAGTGTTAATGTCCAATTACCTAAGTAATTAGATAACCTATAGGTGGGCCTTTTAGACAATTCCCAGCATGACATTAAAATGAAGTTCAGTGTTTTGTCATCCTTTTTTCTATTTCCAAGTTTTTGAGTTTTCTTCTTTAAACAACATGTATCCTTCATTCTCCCAAACTCTTTTCCCCTCCAATTTTGTATTATTTTGAAGTCACTCCTGGAGTTAATACCATGTTATCTGTAATGTAATGTTCATGTGCAATAGCACTTAATGTGTTCTGAAAGCATTTTGTTGCTGGAGTCACATGAACTAAGTGGTTTGAGGAGATCACATCCATTGAACACTTGCTTCTCTTTTCTTATCTGTGGTGTAGCAGTCTAAAGATTTTGATCTTATGCATTTCAGGAGAAACACAATGGATGAAAGAAGAATGTAGTGCAGCCGACCAGTCTCAGTGTCCAGAAGGGTGAGACCGACATGGGGATTTTTACCCTCCTCTAACAGTTGGCACATGGGAATGTGGTTGAAAGGCAGGATGGAATCTTCTCAAATCTATTTACATTTCAAAACAGAAAAGTCATCAAAGGGTTAGGCTCCTTGTAGCTTCTAAGTCAGGCTTTATTTGTTTAATTGTTTGCAAAGTACTTTTATATTAATTTATTATATTCATGCCATACAATAATGACTTAAAAAATTGATTGAAGCATTAAATACTAACATTTCTAAGGTCCTATGTTCAGGACTGGAGTTTAGATAGAACTTAATCCTACCACAACTGTTTTCTATTAATATCCGAGCGCCTTGAATTTATTCTTTCTGAGGGGAAAAGAAATTTGTCCCTGCGAGTTCTCAGAATGAAAGGTAGACTTTGAAGGATGAAGGAGTAGGACTTTGTCAGATGGGCCTAGGTGATGAGCACGGGAGGTAACATGTCCGGCCACATGCTCCTCCTCCACATGTTTATAATGGCTGCTCTCTGGACTTTGCCCATACCTGGAAAGGTGCCCCCACATCACCTCAGAGGCGTTTGGATCTTCTCTTTCTTCCAGTTGCCCCTCTGGCCTTGAGCTACTTTATTCTTCTGGCCCAAGCAGTAGGAGAATGACGGGAAGGTAGAAGAGAGGGAAAGGAATACCTGGCTTTAGGAGGATTTGGTGTTGACAATTCGGTAGGTGTCCTTGATGATGCAAGATAAGACCAGAAAGGAAATTGGTGAAGAAATGGAGGGGGGGAGGGAGGTGGTAAACTGCACACCAACTATCTCCTATTGTCTTCCATTGTTCCATTTACTCAACTGGAGTCATTCGTCCCCTCAAGCCTCCTGACCCCCCTCCCTGCTTAGAGTCACGCATGGCTCTGTATTTATACATACAGTGTAACATACAATGATAATTCTGCTTACTATTAATAATATTTACCAGTAACAATTTTAGTGGCTGGAGACGTTCCAGTAAACGAAGCCTTCTTGCTGTACATTCAAGCTAGTATTTCTGTTTGCTTGTTTCTTTGTTTTACTATTTTGCTAGTCATTGTAGTATAATAAGGAGTGTGGGCTCTTAAATCAGACAAATGTGGGTTGAGAGCCTAGCTCTGCCCCAGCTGGCAATGGGACGCCTTGGGTAAGTTATCTGATCCTCTCTACCTGTCTCATTTATAAGTTGGCAATAATATCGGTATCTGGCTTGCAGGTTGTCCTTAAATTTTTTTGTTAATGACAAAATGAAATAATTCTTGGCATACAGTGAGCCCTTACATAAGCTTCATCGTATGTAATAAAAATAATATTAATAAAATGTTCACCTGTATCAGCAATCAGAGAAAAAAACGAAAAGAAGATAATATTTTTTATACCACAAAAATCAAACACTATGATTCGAACGAAGTAGCAGCCATCTGTTGTGCTTAGGGAAGTATAAATTTATTTAGATTATCACAAGAAAATTGTGACAAAATGTTTCATTCTCCTTTGAAAGTGCTTATCCTTTGAACAGGAAACTTCACGTTTAGGAATGTATCTTAAGAAAATAATTACAAGTGTTTTAGCTACAAGGATGTTCATGATAGCACTGTTTTATAATCTTGCTTTTGAATTGCACTGGGGTTGCTAGCTTGGAGGGGCAGGGAGGCCATTAGGAAAGAGAAGTACTGAAAATTTGAATTTCACACTATTTAGATTAAAAAAATTTTATTGTGGTAAAAATATGTATAACAAAATATTTGCCATTTCAACATTTTTTACATGTTCAGTTGAATGACATTAATTAACTTCATGTTATGCAACCATTATCATTATCCATTTCCAAATTTTTCCATTACCCTTAACAGAAACTCGGTGCCTTCTCAGAAATGACTCTTCCTAGGTACCTCCTCTACCTCCACCCCCTGGTAGCCTCTAATGAACTTTGGTCTCTATATATTTGCATATTCTCGATATTTCCTATAAGTGGGATCATACGATATTTGTCTTTTGTGACTAACTTATTTCACAGAGTACAATATTTTCAAGGTTCTTTGGATCACACTCTTGAGCTCATAGATGTTTTGATCCTGTCTTTAAGCTGCAAGGTTATTTAGATGGGGTATTTATGAAAATAAACATTTTCATCAGAATTATGCCGATGTTAATTAGTTTTTTAGGAAAAAAAAGATTTTCCAATGCAAACTGTACTACAAAAAAAAAAAAAAAAAAAAACAAGCCCACTGCCGTTGAGTCAATTCCGACTCATAGTGACCCCATAGGATTTCCAAGGCTGTAAATCTCTGTGGAAGCACACTGCCACATCTTTCTCCCACAGAGCTCCTGGTGGTTTTGAACCACCAACCTTTCAGTTAGTAGTATATCACTTTAACCACTGTGCCAGTGTCAGTACAAGTCTAAATTGACTTGACGGCAATGGGCAAACTCTACTAGGCCAGTTTAATTTTTTGATCAATTTTAAACAAGTTACAATTAAAGCATTTCTAATTTCCCTGTTTTTCTTTAGATTGAGGCAGTGTTCACATACTTTGAAGTGCATATATCTTAAGTGTTCAGTTTGAGCTTTAGAAAACGCACACACCTGTGTAACCCACACTACTATCAAGATATAGTATACTTATACCACCTTAAAAAGATACTTCATGTCCTTCCCACCTACCTCCATAGACACTCACAGTTTTGATTTCTATCACCATGGATTCCTGTTCTAGAAATCTCATACAAATGGAATCATACCATATGTTCTCTTGTGTCTAACCTCTTCACCCAATGTTTTGAGTTTTGTGAATATTCCTGTATGTAACACATGGGCTTTTGCTTAGGGTGTTTTCCTTGGTTGACACATTAGTCCAATTCTCCTTTAATATTATTTCTATTTGTCCTTTAGGGCTCCATTCACATGTCACATCCCCTGGACAGCCTGTTACGTTCTTCTGAGAACTTGAATAGCACCCTGTACTCAAATTTAGTCCTGAACAACTCCAGTTCACTTCTCAATTTCCTTCCTCATAAGGGCTCTAACTCCTCCATAACTTTGTTCTCAGCATCTAGCACAATGCCAGACTCAAATACTTACTAAATGAATGAATAAATAAATGCTTATTCGGGGAATATTACAATAAATGCTGCTTTGAGGAAGCCCAATAGACTTGTTTTCTAGACTCTCCTCACACTTTTACAGTGTGTAATTAGATGGCACACTGTTATTTTTTCTAAATTTACTCAAACACACTGAAAAATGATTGAATATATTTTCTTATTTTTAGCTGGCATCAGCATTCAGAATTTTCTTTATAATCATATTGGATAGCTTGGCAGAATTTTTGATGACTTGTTCTAACCAAATTTTTTAGATTGCTATGTTTTTGTGCAAAAAATCCAGATGTGAAATTGTTTGAGCACAGAGTTGAAAATGATTTCTTTATATATTTGCATGCACCCTATTTGGAATTTAAAATAAATTTACTGTGTTTAGAGCTGCTATTCATAATGCCTCTAACCTGCAAAGTACCCAAATGCACATCAACAGTAGAAGGAATAAATTGTGGCTTACTCATTCACTATCATGCTAGACAGTTACAAGAATAAGCACAACTTGATGCAAAAATTTGGATGAAATCTCCCAAACATACTGTTAAATGAAAGAAGCCAGACGCAAAAGAATGCATACTGTATGGTTTCATTTGTGTATAAATATAAGCACAAAAATAGGCAAAACTAATCTGTGCTGTTAGAAGTCAAGATAGTGTTTATCCTTGGTGGGGGTGGGGATGCGGTTTAGTGACTGGAAGCACCAGGAGACACTTCTTGGTGCTGGAAGTATTCTGTTTCTTGATCTGGGTGATGGCTACCCAGTGGAGTTCAGTTAGTGAAAATTCATCCAACTATACATCTGTGAAGTGTGTACTTTTCTGTGCATCGAGTATAAAATTAATAAAAATTAAAAAGTGAAAAAAAGTTGATAGTAAAAAACAAACAACAAAACAACAGAAAAACATTCCCTAGCGCTATAGCCCAAAAGCTACTTTTCATCATTTTAGCTTCAATACTCGTCTAAAAAAAAAATTGTAATGCATCTGAGGTTGACATTAATATCCTGAGTGTTACAATAAAAAGTAAAAAAACTTAATTCTTTTGATATGTAAAACTCTAGAATATTAAAAGATCTCGTAAACTACAGAGTTTCTAAATTTGACAGCATAGTTATATCCAAAAGATGGTAGAACGGAATAATTAAAACTTTTATAATTTTTTAGTTTGAGCCTTGAATTTGGTAATCACTGCACTTGACTTCATTTGGTACAGTTCCTTTGCCAAAGCCAGGGCTGTAAAAGGCCTTCAATATAGAATCTCATCTCTGTTGGTGCTTTGTTAATGCTCTGCTCACTGATGTTAATGCTCATGCCACTGATCTCTATTGTAAAATAATTAGCTCCTGTGAGGTCCCTAGGTGGCACAGATGGTTTGCGCTTGACTGCTAACCTAAAGGTTGGTGGTTTGAAGCCACCCAGTGGTACTGCAGAAGAAAGCCCTGGCAATTTGCTTCCATTAAGATTACAAACAAGAAACCCCTATGAAGCAGTTCTGCTCTGTAACACATGGGGTTACCATGAGTCAGAATTGACTCAACAGCAATAAGTTTGGTTTGGTATTTCCCTACTACTGTAAAATACTAAGTATATTTGAGGAGAAGTAATACTACTGTGATATGTTGTAATAATTTCAAAATACTAGGTGAATAGATTATGAGTAAAATTTTGAGAGGTTGAGTGACTAGAGTTAAGTAACTAATAAAGAAGGAAGCTGAGAATTAGACTCAAGTCATCTGAGGCCAAAGCCTTTCCTTTTCCTCAAGAGCACACAGCTTGTCCTTATAAACATTCAGGGCTACAGCAATTTCATACACAGCATACCTAGATGTCATAGAGAGCTGATGCCAAGGAGTAAATGAGAATAAAGAAATGTAGTCAATCAAAATCATTTAAACTCTAGAACTCGAAGGGTGGTTGACCTCAAAGGTGAAAGAGCCAGGTAATTTATTAGCACTTATTTTTTAATGTTGTGCATTTTAATTAGAGATTATTTTACACACCAGAAGTACTAATTGTTAAGCGGAAATAATTTTTAAAGAAGGAAAGGAAAACTTAACCCACTACTACTTTCTTCCTACCTTCCTTCCTTCTTTCCTTACTTTATCCTCCCTCCCTCCCTCCGTTCCTTCCTTCCTTCCTTTCTTTTTCTAGGGCACAGTTTTACTACCTGCTGCATTAAGAAGGTGCAACTGATATATAAAATCATGGGTCTCCCCATACTTAAATCAGTACGGTATGGTTGGAGAGAAGAAACTAGGAAAACATTTTGAATTATAGCACCATCTCTCCCTGGCTAACTCATTCGTTTTTAAAAAATTTTAATTGTAGTAAAATATATTTAACAAAATTTGCCATTTCAACCATTTTCAAGTGTGTAAATTCAGTGACATTAACTATAATTACTATGTAGTGTTACCATCACTGCTATCTATTTCCAAAACTTTTTCATCACCCCAAGCAGAAACTTAGTACCCCTTAAACAATAACCCCCATTCCCACTTTCCCCTAGCCCCTGGATAGTTAACTAATAAACTATTGTCTCTATGCATTTGCCTATTCTGGACTTTTCATATCAGTGGGATCATACAATATTTGTCCTTTTGTGATGGACTTATTTCAGTTAGCATAATGTTTTCAAAGTTCATCCATGTTGAAGCATGTATCAGAACTTCATTTTTCTTTATGGCCGCATAATATTCCATTGTATGTATATAAGCACATTGTTTACCCATTCGAGTTATTCATGGTCATTTGGGTTGTTTCCACCGTTTAATTATTGTGACTAATGTTGTAAAGACCATTGCCAGTACTATTTTCTTATTATATTTTCTAACCATTTTTCTAATTGTAAGTAGTACACAAGAAGTGTATTTATTGTTTTTTATAATCAAACCAATGGACCAACTTTTGTTTTCCATTTTCAGGTTCGACTTGCCACCACTTATCTTGTTTTCCATGGATGGGTTTGGAGCTGAGTATTTAGAAACACAGCATATGTTTATACCTAATATTAATAAACTGAGTAAGTCTTCTGCAATTAGTAGCATGCAAATGACAAACCAACACCCAGTTAGTCATTCTCTGGGTGATGGACCTTTCTTTCCAACCTTTAGCTTTAGTGAATTGTCTTAACCCAGGTCCTCTCAAAGCCCTGATGCCTTATCACTCCTTTTGCTAGGGAGTATGTTTTCATACTTGTTGGCTCCTCCTCCTTTTTTAGTAACATGTTCATCTCTTTGTCTATTTTTACTTGTTTGTATTTGAATATAACTTCTGTCCTATGGAAATCTGTTCGTATATACTGGCTCAAAAGTGGCATATGTCAGAACTGGTTTCTAAGTCTCAGCAAAATAGATACGACTAGCAAGGACAGAATCCTGAGGTAATGTGGGTAGACTGGACAGATCCATCAAATACAAAAGCTCCAATATTGAGAGCTACAGAATCTACTTCTGTTTCTAGAATCAAACTGCCTGACACCTAACTCCACCACTTACTAGGTGGGAGGCCTTGGGCAAGTTTACCTAACTTTTTAGCGCTCCAGTTTCTTCATCTGTAAAATGGTCATGATAATAATCCTGTGAGAATGTACATGTAGTATACAGTGGATGATTTGAAGTTATTACTATAATTATTGTTTCCATTATCATCTTCATCATGATGTTGCACTTCTACATTAGGGTACTTGGTCTCTGTACAATTTGATAACGTTAATAATAAAGAGAAGCCGACAGCCCAAGGACACAGAGATAAAAGATGGCAGAGTGTGATTAGAATCAAAAGGCTGGCTCCAGGGCCCACACACTTCACTGCCCTGAAGCTTCTCTCTTTCTCCCAAGCCCTCTTCTATATACAAGGTTCTCAAAGTTTATGACAACTTTACTGTCTTCCTGGTCTTATTTTCCTTCAAATTACAAAAAAAAAAAAAAAAAGAAAGGCCGACACTGTGTAAGTCAGGTGACTTTTCTTGGCCTCAGTTTCCTCATTTGTACAATAAGATGGCTGGGTCTCATAATTTCTACTGCTAATTTCAGCTCTAAATTTCCATGATTCTAGAAAGATAAATATTCCATCTAGAACACAAAGTACCCTAATTCTTCAGCTTCTCTTTCACACCCTGAGACAAATCTTTAGCAAAGAGATTTAGAATTTTGGGCTCTGCCAGAATTGGCTCCAAATCCAGGACTCCTCACTTACCGCTGAGATAACCTTGGCCTGGGAAGTTAATCAACATCTCTCAGTTTCTATTTCCGCACCTGCATTTCTTTTGTGCCAAAAAGGGAATTTAACTAGGCAGGCTTGACTGGATCCCTTTTGAAAGAGAATTATTGATTTGCTCATCCCATTGGGAGTTGGATATGATAACATGAAATAATGAATCATTGAGTGCTTTTCTTTTTTTAAACTTTAAAATACTTTTCGGTCATTCAGACAGCATCTCAATCCTCCAATGTGAAAAGATATCACTAAATATGTGGAGTAAGGCAAAATGGGGCAATCTGGTTTTAAGAGTCCCAATTAAGATACCAAAAAAACCAAACTCACTACCGTTGAGTCAATTCTGATTCATAGAGACCCTATAGGACAGAGTAGAACTGCCCCATAGGGTTTCCAAGAAGCGGCTGGTGGATGCAAACTGTCAACCTTTTGGTTAGCAGCCAAGCTAACCAGGGCTGGTAAAATGTTAGGATTAGGCCTCACTTTGCCTTGAGGTGAGGTATGAGACAGAAGGCATCACCATTAAGGAAGTCTAGGGCCCCATCTCTAGTGTCCCATCAAGCTGCTTGGGTTTGGCTAAAGTGGTTGCGGACACTCGGTGTGAACTAACACTACTGAGTCATTTGAGTGACAGGTAAGTGGACGAGGATTTGGCTCTGAGACACGCTCTAGTGAGAAGGCTAGGATGTTGTCTTGTCTCAATGTGGGTGGCAGCAGACAAGGAAGGGCCAGAACAAGATCAGGAAGCTGTCAAGTTAAATAGAAATGATTTGGCTTGAATAGGATGTCCGTCTTCCTGGAAAGTTTGGTAGGAAACAGATAAACGAAAACTAGAAATAGCAAGAAGAAAGGTAGTTTCCAGGCAAGCAAGACATGTGGATTTTTGAAGGTTAGAATTAGCAAGGTTGGCAATACTGAACAGTAGAACCCTGGAATTCCCTACAGCAGATGCCATTTGCTGTTTGCCCTCTTCCATCTTTTCTTCTTTGTGTGTCAAGGATTCAGGTGTATGCTTGCAATTACTGGGAGAATTGGAGCCTTTGCAGAGCTGAATGTTCTTGATTTGCTTGAGTGCAGGCAACTGCATGTCCAGGCTTTCCAGAAGGCTATTCTACTAAATTATACACAAAAAGATAAGTGCCTATTTTGAGCCTGTGAATATTGCTGAACAGTTGCCTTGTTTTCAATTTGTAGGAATACCTTAAATAATATTTCAATATGTCACTCATAAGAATTTCCTAAATACTATTATAGTCTTGATCTGTGTGTTTTTCAGCTGCTCAACTACTTATCCATTTAGTCCTCCACCCCTGCTATAGTTTTATAGTTACTATAAATTTTTTATTTGGTTAATATTTCCTTTTTAAAAAAACATGCTTTTTTTAAAGTAAAATATGCACGTGGTAAAAAGTTTCAAACAACCCTAAAGTGTAGATAGTAAAAAAAGCAAAACCTCTTTCCTAATCTTTCCAGTTTTTCTCTGCAGAAGCAAATACTGTTATCAGTTTATTGTATGTCTTTCCAATAATGTTCTATTCAGTCATAATTTAGATTATAAGACCTAGAAGAAGGCTTTGTTTTCTAAAGGCTGTACTCCAATAGCTCTGGTTCAAAGGCAGGTAATCCAAAATGGCAGCCTGAATCTGTAAATGTCAGGAGGTGTATCTTGTTTAAGACATTCTCAATAGGGAGGGGTCATGTTTTCACAATACTGGCAGCTTAAAAACCCACAAACCAAACCCACTGCCATCAGGATTTCTGTATAGAAAATTTCTTGTACTTCACAGCTGTAGAGGAAGTAATGTGTTCCAGTGGTTCTGACCTCTTTAAGCAGGGTTATTGCACAGATTGAAAACAGTCAGAACAATGAAAGCAAAATTAATGCTGTGCTTTGTGAAAAGCAGATCACAGGAAACGTTACTAATGAAACAGAAACTGTACTGAAAGTAATAAGCAGTAAAGTTAGCTTCTTTTGAAAAAAATTACTACTTGCCTATGTAGTTATATAAATCAAATTCCTTTTTAGTTACCTAGACAGTTGTGTATACTTTTGTTATATTGCATAGTTTACATATAAGAACTATCTGCTGGGATGCAAATATTATATAGAAATTCTTATTGTAATTACCATCATTGGAAGAAGGGAACAGCAAAAGCAAACAAAGCCTGCAATATATAATTTAGGATACCTTTAGCTCTGGGGTCAGCCAACTGGCCAGTGGGCCCAATCTGGCACATTAGCTGTTTTCATACAGCCTGCCACTAACCAGAAATTTTTTTATATTTAAAATAAATGAAGAATAATATTTTGTGACATGTAAAAATTATATGAAATTCAAATTCAGTGTCCGTAAATTAAGTTTTATTAGAACACAGCTACACTCATTTATTTATCGATTGCCTGGCTGCTTTTGGTTATAATGGCAAAGTTGAATGGGTGTGACAGAGATCATATGGCCCATAAAGCTGAAAATGTGTACTCTTTGGCCCTTTACAGAAAATGTTTGTGGACCCCTGAGGTAGCTCATTCCTCTCCTAAAAGCTGACATTCCTTGGAATGGTGAACTTTCAGAGTCAGCATTTCAACCTCTTTCCATCAACAATCCACTCTTCAGTTAGTTTTTTATTTCTCTGGGAAATTTCCACGTTCAGATTTTTTGTTATTCAAAAAAACTTCTGAGGAAGAAGCAATTTGCTAATTTCTCACTGTTCATTGTTGCAGAAATATGTGGAATTCATGCAAAATACATGCGAGGTGTCTATCCAACCAAAACCTTCCCAAATCATTACACCATTGCTACGGTAAGTGCTTGGTCAAGTGGCAAGACTGACTGACCGGCCACTGACAGGCAACTGACCACACCAGACATGCTTAGGCAGGAACTGGCCGAGCCTCATGCCACACATTTCACAAGATTTTGTGGTCATAGTTCATGACTGGATCCAGGTTGGGAAGGAGTGTCTCAGCATAAGGCTACTCAAGTGCTGTGAGCTGTTAACTATGAATGAGTGCCTAGTTCACCATGATGATCTACCAAGATAGCGTCTTTTTGAGACATAGCATTCTCCCACTGTCCTTTGATTAGCCTTCATTTATTTGAAGGCCTGCTGGGAAATAGTAGGCTCTATATATGTGGACAGTCACTTTAATGTGGGAAATTTATTTTTTTTCTTAATCTTTTCATTACATTTAACTTAATAAATGCATTTGTTTCATAAGTGCATTCATACTGGCTACAAGTTTAGATAAACAAAATGGGACAGTGAATTCGCAGCGGATAAGAAGATGTAGGTATTTTCAAACACCATTCATTCTTTACCATTCTGCTTCTTTTTTTCATTGGAAAGATTAAAATGAACTCAAAGGAAAAATAAGTCATTTAGGATTCACAGATTTAGAACACATCTTAAGAAGTCTTCTGCCTGAGCGTTTATTGTCAAAAGATGTTTGTGTCTTTACTACTTTGCATTTTACTGTTTTATTACTGTGGAACAGTAACTATAACTTATTTAAATTTTAACACTTACATAACTGTGTGTGTATACACACACACTCACACATATATATGCATACATATACCCGTTGTCGTCAAGTCGATTCTGACTAATAGCACCCTATAGGACAGAGCAGAACTGCCCCATGGATTTCCAAGGCTGCAATCTTTATGGAAGTAGACTGTCACATCTTTCTCCCACAGAGCGGCTGATGAATTTGAACCACCAACCTTCTGTTCGCAGCTGAGCACTTAACCACTGCACCACTAGGGCTCCTTATGCATACATATACATCTATAATATATATTGTATACCCTCACACACACATATATAAACAAATAAGGGATTACCAAAAAAAAACCCAAAACTGTTGCCGTCAAGTCGGTTCCGTGTCACAGGGACCCTATAGGACAGAGTAGAACTGCCCCATAGGGTTTCCAAGGAGGGGCTGGTGGATTTGAACTGCTGACCTTTTGGATAGCAGCCAAGCTCTTAACCACTGTGCCAACAGGGCTCCAATAAGGAATTATATATGTATTATTAAGTTACCATATATGTATGAAGAGCTCTGGTGGCTCATTGGTTATACACTTGGCTGCTAACTGAAAGGTTGGTGGTTCGAACCCACCAGCCACTCTGTAGGAGAAAGACGTGGCAGTCTGCTTTCATAACGATTACAATCCTGGAAACCCTATGGGGTATTTCTACCCTGTCCTATAGTGTTGCTATGATGGAATTTACTCGATGGAAATGGTTTCTTTAAATATACGTATGCAGAAGTGTTGGGCTTCTAACCAAAAGGTCAGCAGTTCAAATCCATTAGCTGCTCCTTAGAAACCCTATAGGACAGTTCTACTGTGTCCTATAGGGTTGCCATGAGTCGGAATCGACTCCAAGGTAATGGGTTTGGTTTTTGGCTATATGTAAATGTATACGTATACATTTACATGTATATACATATGTGGATATGCGGCACCCAACAACCACAAATATATATACATATATAAACCCAAACCCGTTGCCATCTATAATTGTTCTGAAACAATGACCCTAAAATCTGTCTGAAAATAGTTACAACTGCATGGGATATAATAGGCACTCAATTAAAAGTGTGTAGAATGATTATTGAATGAATATGTGTGATTGGATTGAATGACTGATTGGATCGATGGGTGGGTGGGTGGATGGAAGGGTAGATAGTGACTATATATACGTAGTATATGTTACATATATTATATACGTATATACACATCACATATACTCGTATTTCAGTTCTAATCCAAGGGTTTTACATTGAAAGGTATATGACAACTTTCCTAGATAGGAGTTATAGATCTTATATTTTAATTTAAAGATATATTTTATTATACATTATTTTATCTTATGTCTTTTTTTATATATATCATTTTAGGGCTTATATCCAGAATCACATGGCATCATTGACAATAATATGTATGATGTAAACCTCAACATGAAGTTTTCACTTTCATCAAAGGAGAAAGAGGATCCAGCCTGGTGGAATGGACAACCAGTAAGTAGTATTCTACACAGAGAACCCAAATAGCCTCCATTTCCCAACGTCACAGCAAACTTCTTTATGGAGCAGAGCATCTGCCATCTCTATTTTGAGTTTTACATTATCCATCTAGTTTCAAGGGCTGAGTGTGGTAACTTGTTTCACCACTATTTACAACTTGAATTTTTAGAAAATTCATAATTTCTCACTGAAATTACCTTATGCTGAAACTTGGGTGTTGTTTTGTAAATATAGCAACCTGGAAGTTACTTAGTTAGAATATCTTAATTTTCCTCATTCTGTTTTGTAATTCATTAAAAAAGAAAGTGGAACTGTCAATCTTACCAATTTGAAAAAAAATGATATTTTTTACTACCTTACTACCTTTCTGATATTTAAGGATCCCCGGAAATTTATTTTAACCGTTACAAAGACAAGTTTTAAATAATTCTAATAAATTTTATAAACTTAAATAAGTTAAATATATTTTGCAACTGTAAATATTGTTCAGTTTCTAATAAGTTGCACCATTTCTACCCAAACTCATTCTTCTACTGACTTTACTCATCTTAAAAAATTTTCTCTTACAGATCTGGCTGACAGCAATGTATCAAGGTTTAAAAGCGGGTACCTACTTTTGGCCAGGATCAGATGTGGCTATAAACGGCACCTTTCCTTCCAAATATATGTTATATGACAAGTAAGTGACGCTCTTTCAGGCATGATCCCACCTAGACAGGACTAATTAGGAGTTGTGTGGTTGTTTTTGTCTTAATCTTGATGATAATTCTATTCTTTCAGTGGTTTGGGCCAAAACTCTTGAAGTCATCACTTATGTTTTCTCTCATATCCCTCATCCAGTCTGTCAGAAAATGGTTTTGGCTCTAATTCAAAATATGTGCAGAATCTGAGAACTTTTTTATTACCTCCAGCATTACTACTCTGGGTTGCGCTATCATCATCTCTTACGTGTATTGCTACAATCACTTCTTAACAGGTCTCCCTGTCTCTATTCTTGCTCCTTAGAATCTATTCTGAATCCACCAGCCAGAATGATTCTTTTAAAAAGCAAGTCCAATTATGACTCTCTTTTTTTTGCTCTAAAAACCTTGATGGCTCCCTATTTCACTCAGAGTAAATACCTATGAGGACCTATGTGGTATGGCCCACACCATCCTGTCCTACCTCTCAGATCTCCTCTCCCACCATCCCCCTGCATGCTCATTCTGCTTTAGCCATACAGACCTCCTTTCTCTAGGCCTCTTACACACCAGGATTCCTTCCTCCCGGGACTTTTGCCCTGGCTGTTCCCTGTGCCTGAGATCTTACCCCACATATCCACACAGCCAACTCCCTTGCCTCCTTCAGGCTTTTGCTCAAAAATCACCTTCTCAATAATGTATTTTTCCCTGACCACACTAAGATTTAAAATTCCATACCACTCCATCCCAGTCTCTCAGTGCCCCTTACTCTGCTCTAGTTTTTCTTTTTCATATTGCATTTATCATCTTTTAACCCACCCTATTATTTATTAGGTCTAAGTTTATTGCTTGTCTTCCTCCAATAGAATATAATCTCTAGGAAGGCAGGTGTCTTTGTTTTACTCCCTAATAAACTTTGTTTTCAGTGAACGAGTGACTGACAATAGGTGCTCAGTATATACATTAATGCCTAAATGAATAAAATGGATAAAAATAAGCCAATAAATGGAAAATAGTGCAGGGCCTTTTATTTTAGTTGGGGCAAAATTGAAGGAGAAAGATGAGAAGGAAAGAAATTGATATACATTTGATTTATAGTGCTGCATGTAAATTTGTACATAATGTACTGAAAACAGGAACTCCTTTGAATAATACTGAATCCCTTTCAGTATTTTGACCATATATGAACACAAAATGAATATCTGAAAATCTGATTGTTTTAAATTATTTTACTCTTTTTTCAGGAATGTTCCATTTGGAGAGAGGGTCTTTACATTATTAAAATGGCTGGATCTGCCCAAAACTGAAAGGTAATATCTAGTGTCAGAGAAATGGTGGCATAGTGGGATATGCATGGTTATAAAATGAAATTGTTTCCTTAGTGTAAATGAACTTTTGTAGAAGAAAACCCTAGAATTCCTGTTTTATGGGCACTTTTGCTGTAGAGAAGTGGTTGCCACTATTGAACGACAGAGATAAAGCTGGTATTAGAGAGCAGAGGCAAATATTACAGAACCTGATACGGATCGAGGGCAGAACTGAGAGTGGGTCTGAAACTTGCTCCTGAGGTCTGACTCCAGGAGCCAGAGCTCAGAGCAAGGCTGGTAGAGTCAGAGCATCCTGAAAAGGGAGCACCAGGAAAACAATGCTACAGAAACCAGGCATTTGAAAAGACAGCTGGGTGTGTATGAATACCAGAGGGCAGAACAAAGAGTCAGCAAAAAGTCAGAAACCAGGAAATGTAAAGGACTGGGGCACACGAAGGTCTTCACAAGAGCAAGGCAGATGTTCATAACAAGGAATAACAGGAAGGTATTATTTACTTCCTGTTAGGAGACCTATACCTCCTAGGTCGAAGTAGAACTACCTGGCCTGGATGAGAGAGGGAGGGCAGTGAGAAAGAAAAGGTTCTAGATCTATCTACATAATCTGACAGCAAGTTCTAGATCTACAAAATCCCCAAATCCAACTATAGATTTAGTCTAAATTGATAGTGTCTTTTTCCTTTTCAATTAGACCCAATTTTTATACCTTATATGTGGAAGAGCCTGATTCAGCAGGACATGAAGGTGGACCAGTCAGTGCTAATGTAAGTTTTTTGTTTTTAAACAAATATAAAATCGTCTAACCCTATCCCACACAAAAACTTATTGAATTTTCATTGAGCACAAATGTATTTAATATATATATGAGATCAAAATAGTTATAAGTCAAAAAATGATATCTGCCTTATTAACTATATTTTGATTCATTTGGTAAACAGTTATTAAATACATGTGTCACTGTTATTTCATATAGTGAAAACATCAAGGCTCACTGCACATGTCAATTCAACAAAGCAGTGTGACCCGTTTCAACCCAAGTCCACCGGGGTAAATACGACCACTATCTATGCACAGTTCCACTTATGAGTTCCTTATCATTGGACTTAATATGTTATTGCCTAAACCAAATTTACTCCCCTTCCAGGCCCCCATTATCATTGAAGTGAACTCTTTAATATTATTTTCTTCATTATTTAGTTTCTTCATTAACATAGTCTGTTATTATTTCAGAGTCTTGGTGGCACAGTAGTTAAAGTGTTTGACTGCTAACTGAAAGGTGGGCAATCGAAGCTACCAGCCACTCTGTGGAATAAAGATGTGGCAGTCTGCTTCAGTCAAGATTTTCAGCCTCGTAAACCCTACGGAGCAGTTCTACTGTGTCCTATAGGGTGGCTATGAGTCGGAATCGACTCGATGGCAGTGGGTTTGGTTGGTTGGTTGGTTTGTTTTTTACTGTACAGAAAGTCATTTCACAAGTGTCCTCAATTGTAAAGCTTTAAGTAAATGTGTTTACCGGGCAGCATGCCTTTGCCCTTTATCAGAAATGCCCCTCTTCTTTCTCTTTTGTATTCCAATACTACTCTTGACTGTATTACAGGATGGCTTTGAAATGATCTAAAACGTACTAACTGTTTTTTCTTCTCTATTTTAATTTTTGCTCATATTTGCTGTTAACGTTTCATGAGATAATACACTTAAGCTCTTATTAATAAATGGCATGCAAAAGCAAAAAAGAAAAAGAAATTATTGTTATAATAGTGCTATGAGAGATTAAGCACATTTCCCCAATCCATTGCTATTACACTTTCTTATTCACTGAAAAGTCAGTTCAATATACTATATTGATAATAAAGTATAGGAAAATTTAAAAACATGGAAGAGTATAAAATAAAAATGAACTTCAATTTTGCTATTCAATGACAACCACTGTTAATAGTACTTTGATAAGTTTCCTTATAGTTTTCTGGGCATGTGCGTTTACTAAGAATATGCTAGATGTATTTAAAAACAAAATCAGGATCATATAAGGGTGTGTCTACAGTTCAGTTTTCTTTTTTCTTTTATTATTATGTGTAACATTGTCTTGTGAATATTTTCCCATGCCACTGTTCTTTACAAATGTTAGTTAATGGCTGTAGAATATGCCATATTACTTTTTCCTTGTGTAATGTGATGAATATCAATCCTTGTTTGTTAGTCTCCATTTATTTGTCCTCTAATTATTTACTTAGGACAAATGCCCAGAAGTAGAATTATTAGGTTACAAGGTATTCACATTTTTAACTCTCTGGTTACATATTGTCCCATGATCCTTCAGAAAGTGTTTAACAGTTTAGACTTCCATAGACGTCCCCGAAAACTCCCCTTTCCAAATACAGCATAATCATGTAAACATTTGCAGTTGAAGAGTGTTTGTTGAGGCTGAACATTTTGGTTTTTTTTTTCATATATTTATTGACCAGTAGTGTATCTTTCTCTATAGGGAACACGGTTTAATTTTCTACAGAAATTTAGAGAATTGGTGCTGGTAAATATGGTGGCATGGATGCTGGATTCTAGTGTCCTATTTCAAAAACCAGTGATTTAAATGAAGGAAATGTGTTTAATTTTTACTCAGTGATTTGGCTAGTTAAAACAATTAATGAAAGCAATGTTCACTCCAAATTTTTATCCTAGGTGGTTCAAGCCTTGCAGTTGGTAGATCAGGCTTTCGGAATGTTGATGGAAGGTTTAAAACAGCGGAACTTACACAACTGTGTCAATATTATCCTTTTGGCTGACCATGGTATGCTTTTCTTTTTTTTTTTAAATCATATTTTATCATTGATTGTATTTTATCGCTTCAGGGAGCATTCAAAAATAGTAATATTCTAAAGTATGTGCTTCCCGACTTAGAAACTCTTGAATAAGCGAAGAGTGAGTTTTGTTGTTATGCTGTGATGAAAACCGGGCTGAAATAAAAATTGTAGTTTAACTATTCTAACATTCTTTTTGAAAATCAACCCATATACTTTAATTTCCGTAAAAATGGAGTCAATAGCACTTACCAGGGACATGGTAGGGTTGTTATTCAGCCCTAGCAAGTGCTTTTCAGCTGGTGATTCATTCGTATCTGTTGGCTGCAGTTTACCACGTTGGCTAGTTTTGCCATGTCATGTGTAAGTTTTTTAGTTGTGCGTAATCACAGCATTCATCTATAAAGCCTTTGTCACCCTATACTTCTCTACTTGAGGTTAACTCTTGATTTCACTTAACCTGGATGTGAAAGGTAGGAGAAGGGCTGCCACATCTTCTCCAACCTCGTGCAGAATGCCTTCACACAGTTTGAAAGCATGCATTCATTCAATAAGCATTTTTTAAGTGCTTACTAAATGGTGAGCACCCTACAAGGTATGGAATGTTCAGAGGCACAAAAAGCAGACACGGACCTTTTCAAAAGAGAGTATTCAGAACTGTCTTCTCAAGGAGGACGTTCATGCTAAGCTCTAACAGCTGTGAAGGAAACCGGCATGGGGTGTAAAGGGTGAAAAGAGGCCAAGTAACAGGAACAGCATGTCTGCAGGACATTTGTTTGTTTGTATTTTACAACATCAAGATAATGAGAGATGTAATAATTTCTTTCTTTTTTTACTTCTAAAATGATTCCCTAACACTTTGCCCTAGTGTTTTAAAATGAAAGGGAAACATAATTATCTATGTTTTGTTATAAGAAATTGATACAAGTAGTCTGCCTTGAGCATTATGCTTTTCTAAGCACTATCTATATGAGATCAAATTGATAACAGCAACTTAAAAGATTAGGTAGGAACCTTAGGGGACAGATATTTTTGAGTCTTAACCTCCTACAGAGGATTTTCTTCCCCAAAATTATTTAATTAATCTTCATTGAACAAAGGATCTGTCTGTAATAAATGTCTATACTCTCATAAATATGACTGTTTCCTCTACTGCCACTATTCTCAAGTTCTGCCATTTAGAGTTAAGAAGTAGGATAAGTTGTATAGGTTATCAGTGAAACTTGATTTGAGATGTAGTAACAAAATGTCTCCTACTTGATATGAACAAAGACTACAGATTGTTCCTACCTATGTACCATATTTTGTGCAAATAACGCATGCCTTCTACTTTTGTTTGCCAACCTCTCCCTCCCCACCCCCTCGAGGTATTTTTGTAAGTGCACTATGCTAATTTTTTTACAGCAACATGTAAAAAAAATTGTCATAGTAGCGCTTACAAAAATACTTCCTGGGGGAAGGGAGCAGTTGGCAAACAAATGTAGAAGGCACGCATTATTAGTGTAAAAATATGCAGTACATTCAGTAGATAATGTTTGTTTGTTTTTGATTCAGGGATGGATCAGACTTACTGTGACCAGATGGAATATATGACAGATTATTTTCCAGAAATAAACTTCTACATGTATGAAGGGCCTGCACCTCGTATCAGGTCCAGTAAAACACCTCAAGACTTCTACAGCTGTAAGTATAAAGATTCCCATGTGAAATGTGTGGTGAAACTGAAAGTGAATAGCAATAGCACCCTGATTTTCTGAGGATTTAAGGGGTTTCACGCCTCCCTTCTGACCTCTTGGGACAAAAGCAAATGAGAAGTTACCATGTTTCGGTATAATCTACGACGTCTATGGTAGTATCCAATATTGTTAAGTTAAAGCGTATTCCACTCTGTTCTTAAATCCTGAATCATTCTTTGCTTAAAATGATCTTTTGTTTAATTTTACCAGATCATAGTCATTAATAAATGTATGTGTCAAATTCACTGAGTTGTTCACATATTTTGTATCAGTTGTAATGTGATTTATTTATTTTCTTTTGAAACAGTTAACTCTGAAGGAATTGTTAAGAACCTCAGTGTAAGTATACAGCCTCCTCAATACACTTATTTAATTCAGTGTGATGGTCTTCAACAATTTGGGTTTCAGGTTATAAATTATAGAAATCTTTATTCTACATTTCTGAGTCCAAGCTACTGGTAATTTATTTTTTTAAACTGTCCATCAACATTATTTTAAATGTGAATCATCAGTTGCTTTCATCTGAGATGTTTTCATTTTAGGATTAACACCACTACTGGAAGTTAGTTTAGGGTAACCATGGCACTGATTCCTGGCTTTCACCGAGCTAGCAGATGTCCCACTCAAAAAGGCTGTTCTCATGAGCTTCAGGCAGCTTAGCTTTTCATTTTCTGTGACTTAATATCAGAAAATGGGGAATCACGGACTCTCATAGATCTTTTTGTACAGATCAGAAAAATCGTCTTCTTACCTCTAAGTATAATTGCAACTGCTTTTGATTGGTTCCCATGTTCTGGTTTGTAAGTAAATGACCAGGACAAAGTTCAGATAGATTAAAGCAAGATTTTTCAAAGCGGGTTCACTACTGCTAGAGAGACCTGAAATGTTCTTATGTGGTTATTTTAATAGCTATGCATTTAAAGTATATTCACAAATATATGTCTATTACATACAATTTATGAGTTTATTATTGCTGGGAAAGAGCTAAATTAAGTGAAGGTGGTAGATAATTATAGTAAAAATCGTAAGGATGGAATGTGAAGGATGAAAGATAAGGAGACACTTGGTAAAGAATGGTTAATATAATGTGGAACCCACTGCACATTTGAAGCACGAATGACCATTAGAACAGAAATCCTTTACAGTGTTAATCACTCCTTTTTTCCCCTACACCTTCCAATACCCTGATCTTGAGAGTAAACATGATCAACAATCCCACCCTACTAGTGAAGTGTATGCATGCTGTGTTCATGCTTACTGAATTTGTAAATTGTAGTTTAGAATTTTCAATATGTGGATTTTCTAAATCCACATACTGTTTTCCTTTTGTCCCATCTCTTCATGCTCCAAATAGCTGAAGTCTGTTGATGAGGAAGGACGAATCTCTAACAATCCCAGTGGTGCAAAAGGATTGAGTACCTTGGGATTTGGAAATCCATTATATGGTACCACGGATATGGACTGGACCTGTGCGACAGAGGCCCAAAGAAATGTACCACCATTTCGCGGAGTAGTCTACTATTTCTGGGAAAATATTTTGTGTGGTGGTACAGTATTCCCAGTAGTGCTGTTCTGTGGGCCTGTACTGAGCTTGTATTGGACAAACATGAACTGGCCACCCTGATATTTCACAACATTCTGGCTGCATGAGAAACATCAGCCTAAACTTTGTTTTTAGAGAAAATGACCAAGATTTTATCTCCACTCCGGTGTCTTCATCCCAAACTGTGAAATGCAGGGGTTAATCCCATACTTCTTCAAAGACTGGCAATGTCCCACCAATTTTCTCTAGATTTACTCTGGTTACACCCTGGCTCAGAAGGTGTAACTAGTCAAATTATCTGTGATTCTTAGGGGCACATTCTAGTCCCTTTCATCTTGGGAGAAGGTACATACTTAGCAGTACCATCTCATGTCTGTCTAGAAGTTAGCAAAAGTGTTGGCTTAAGGAGGAAGTAATGATAAATGAGAAAGCAGAAAAATAAGAAGCCTGAAAAAGACAGGAAGACCAAAATACAGAGGAAAAAACTGACAAAATTATATGTGCAATAAATACTTTTTCTTTACTTTTTCATTCTATAGCTAACTCTCTTTGCTCTCTCATTTTCTTTTAAATTGTGTTTTATTCAATTTCATTGTTTCAATTATTTTTTCTTATATAAATTGAACATGAGATATTAGTGACACAGACTTGTTAGTATTTATGAGATAGTGAGGTTTAAGATAAATGAGAAAAATGGGGAAATGAAAAAAGTTACTTCCCCATATTCTTATCTTTATATTTATTTTTCTTCTTTTTCCTCAAAAAGGTGAGGAGGGAGAAAATAGTTCTTTATGTTTTTTTCTTTTTCTCTTGTTCCACAAAAAGATCATGAGGAGAGAAATTTCCTTTGTAGTTCTATTTCTCATTTACTCATTTTTTTACGTGACTAGATACCAGTGTGATTCGCATTTTTACATAATTTTAAAAATACACCATCTAGTTACAGCAGTAATTTTTAAAGAAATAATATTTCACCCCAATTTGTGTGGAATCCATGATTTTTTCACAAAAAGGAAACTATTAGGTTTCAAAAGCTCTTGACTTGATTTGAAAATTAAGCAAATGTAGGTGACTTAAAGGATAAATTGAGTCAATTGGGAAGGAATTCTTGGCTTAATTAAACTGATTTTTAAAAATGTTTACCCATATCTACTATTATGTTATATACTTTCATATATAATTTAGACTCAAGAGTTGTAATGCCACTCCAAGTCTAGACTTATTACTTATACATAGTCTGTGTCAAAGAAGGAGGGAAGATTTATAGTGGTTTAAAATATATACATAACAGTAGAACTTAAAATATCAAACATCAAATCATAATTTAAATCAGAATTTATTTGTAAAAATTGTTGTAACTATATACTGTAATTAGGGTATGTGACCATATTGATAATACATTTAATATTCCTATTTTATCAGCTGGATTAAACTCCCTTATTTCTAAAAAGGGTTTAATAAATAGTGTTAGGAGTTCTGGGGGCGCAGTGGTTAAGTGCTCTGCTGTTAACCGAAAGGTCCGAGGTTTGAAACCACCAGCCACTCCGAAGGAATAAGATGTGGCAGTCCACTTCCATAAAGATTATAGCCTTGGAAACCCTATGGGACAGTTCTACTCTGTCCCATAGGCTTGCTATGATTCAGAAGTGACTCGGCCACACACAACAGCAATAGTTTTAGAAGATGAAATTGGTGAATTGGTTTGCATATTTTTAAGAAATAATTACTTGTTTTTCAGTGCCGAAAACCTGACCAGCATTTCAAACCATATTTGTCTCCTGATTTGCCAAAACGACTGCACTATGCCAAAAATGTCAGAATTGACAAAGTTCACCTTATGATGGATCAGCAGTGGCTGGGTGTGAGGTTTGTGTGTACTATATTTTTAACAACCATCTTTCATTATAAATTTACTTAACCTTGTCCTGGGATTATGGTCACATATTTTTCATGAGCATTGACATTTTCTTGAACTTTTTTACGTGCTGTCTAGTACTTCTGTAATTGAAAGTATTGTGATTAGGTTGGTGACTGTAGTATCAAAGTCCTCAGCAATATACATGAGAGTGAAGGGGAAGTCAGAGACTCTTCCTGCCATTATCAGCGCGTTCCTAACCTTGCTGTGATCTCTCTTTAGGCAACAGACAGGATAAAGATGACTTTAGTTATCTCCCAGGCTGGTAGTAAGTGAGTGATTAGATGGCTCTTTAAAATCTTTGTGATTTTTAGAAAGGAGCACTATTATGGCTCTTAGCCATGCTAACCAATTAGTGCTATCATTTTTTTTTTCTAATTATAATTGTAATTCACATTGATCATTGAGCAGCTGTAAAATTTAAGTGTGTTTAGAGAAAAAAAATTGGAGTCAGTCCATCCTGAAATAACAAATTGATTCAACAAAATTTTATCGAATACTTTGTATGTGTGTGCCAGACCCTGTTGAAGGCATTTTTAGGTACAGAGGTGGTTTCTGATCTCATGGAGGACACCCCATGCCCTCTAGTGGAGGACAATGACAATACACCAGTAAGCAAATACATAAACACTTCCTGATTGTTAAGTTAAGGTGGCCTGGTGGTTAAGTGCTCAGCTGCTGACTGAAGGGTCAGCAGTTTGAATCCACCAGCTGCTCCGTGGGAGAAAGATGTGGCAGTCCTCATAAACCCTGTGGGGCAGTTCTCCCCTGTCCTATAGGGTTGCTATGAGTGCGAATTGACTCGATGGCAATGGGTTGTTTTTTTTTTTTGGTAGTTAATGTTCCCTATTTTTGTATTTCATTCCAGTATTTTCCCATGTGTACACGATCATATTGAGTATAATGAGCTCTGGTGGCACAAAGCGCTCAGCTGCTAACTAAAAGTTCAGTGGTTCAAACCCACCAGCCACTCTACGGCAGAAAGATATGGCAGTCGGCTTCCATAAAGATTTACAGCCTTGGAAATCCTATGGGGCAGTTCTACTCTGTCCTGTAGGGCCGCTGTGAGTTGGAATTGACTTGATGGCTGTGAGTTTTGTTTTACATGATCATATCGAGTATAGTTTTCTGGCTTCCCTTATTTGTGTGCTATGTAAGACTAGGAGGACGGCCAATCTCATCACTCCTAGGTGATAATTGGAATAGGGGGGTGACTGAAAGATATGTCTAACAAAGAAAGAAGAAAGGAAAGAAGGCAAAAGAGCTGAGCTCCAGTACAAGTGGATGAGCAACTGGAGAGTTGGCAGAGCCTGTTTTATAAGAGAACCTGTAAACCAAGGTTTGAACCAGTTCATTCCGGTTCGACCACCTGCTGAGAATTTGAATTTCCACCCCAGATATACTGAATCAGAATCTACATTTTAAAAGATCCCCAGGTGATTCTTAATTTGCAGGAGGTGGAACCAAAACAAACTGGTTCAAAGCCCTGCTGTAAACCCAAGCAGTAGACCCCTAGACAGAGAATGTGCAGTTTCCCACTGGATCACCAGGTGGCACTGTCCTCTCTGCTTGGGACTGGGGCTTCAAAGTCCTTTGTAGATCAGTAGGTTGTACTTTGGCTTAGGACAACATTCTCTAAAAAAATACTCATTATTTCTCTAAAATATGTGAGCAAATAAAACTTTAATAATAACAAGTACACAATATTGTTCCTAATTTATGTATGTAATGCATACATATGTATATGTTCAAACGGGAATATGTTTTCCAAATATTTACTGTTAGGAGTATGAGATCAAAGAAGGCCACTGGTACAAACCGAGAAAGTACCTATCCATCTGACAGCATGAACTGTGGGTCACACAATGGGAACTTAGTTGCCAGAGTGGCTTGAATTAGGAACTTTTTATGTTTTTGAACAACTAGCAGTGAGCTGAAGTAGAGTTCAAGGCTTGGCTCCCCAGCTAGCTAGTTATGGGAAGTGCTATAACAAAGGATTAGCCTGGTTTTGTTATTCTCTTGCCAGTAGCATACAAGGTAAACTCATTTTCATCAAAGGAAATTTTGAATACAGATGTAACCAGAGCAACTCAGGAATCTGACCTAACATTAAAATTCTGTCTACCTATTTTCTAAGTTACAGTGCATAACTAGATAACTAGACTAGATCACTTTTTCAAAATTATAGCTAATTTCATCATTTAGTGTAATATATTTTCATATCCTCACCCTTATTTTGCCTAAAATATGTTAGATTTTACAAATTTGAGGGAAGAAGAACCCTGGTAGCACAAAGTTTAAGTGCTCAGCTGCTAAACGAAAAGATTGGCCTTTTGAATCTACCTAGTGGTTCCGAGGGAGAAAGACCTGGCAATCTGTTCCCGTGAGGATCATAGCCTAGAAAACCCTATGGGGCACTTCTACTCTGTCACATGAGGTCACTGTGAGTCAAAAATTGACTGAACGACACCTAACAACAATTATTTGAAATTATAGTTGAAATATATCGTTAAAGTGCTCTTTTAGAGAACATAATAGATTTTCGTTTTAGAATAGCAACTGCCAAATAAGTCCCAGTGTCAGGGATGGGGACTACGGGGTAGGAGGGGACAGGAAAGCTGGTAATGGGGAGCCCAAGGTTGAGAGGGGACAGTGTTGACATGTCATGGCATTGTTAACCGTTGTCATTAAAGAATATGTGTACTGACTGGTAAGAAACCATTTGTTCTGTAAGCTTCAGCTAAAGTACAATAAAAAAATAAAACATAAGTCCCAGTGTGGTGCAATGGGTTTCTTTTATATGCCTTTTCTGGCCCTGGGTTTGTAATTCTCCCAAAATGATTGGTTAGGTTGTAATCTTGTATGTGACTGGTCTATTTACTAGCCATATAAGCGGCTTGTCATTCACCCAATAGTATTGATCGGATTTCGGCCCACCTAGGGGATTGATTGGTTTTCAATCCTGCCGGGAAGGCCATACATTGAGATTAACAGGAAGTTTTCCTGTATTAGAGGCCAGTCTTAAGAGGTTTTTGGGCAACCTCATGATCATCAAGAGCCTAGAATGGAGTGAGACCTTTGGCTCAGGGTCCATTTGGACCTGGGATACCTGCACTGAGAGCCTCTACACTGGAGTAAAAGAGCTGTAATAGAGGTCAAGGGCTGTAACACTGAAAACGGAGAGACAGTGGGCTGGTCAGCCACAGAGAGAAGCTGGGCATCTCCAGGCCTGTGGGAGCTGTGCAGGCTCCCTGGCATCATGGTGGGATAGATGTTGTGGAGGGGCATCACTGCAGAGGAAGCCGTGCATGCCCTCTGGCAGTGCAGGCAGAGGCACAAATACCCCAGGCAGTGTGGCGGGAGCTGGAGACAGTGGAGCCAGTGCTGTGAACACAGCATCTGACCTCAACCACTGTAAGCTGGCTGAGTGACATAAGTATTGTTATTGTTGCTGTCAGGTGCCATCAAGTCAGTTCTGACCCATAGTGAGCCTACGTACAATAGAACAAAACACTGCGTGGTCCTGTGCCATCCTCACAATCATTGTAAGACCTGAGCCCATTATTGCAGCCACTATGTCAGTCCATCTCTTTCAGGGTCTTCCTCTTTTTTGCTGACTCTCTACTTTACCAAGCATGATGTCCTTCTCCAGGGACTGATCCCTCCTGATAACATGTCCAAAGTATGTGAGACGTAGTCTCGCCATTTCTGCTTCCAGAAAGCATTCTGGTTGTATGGACATAAGTATGGACATGGGTAATTTGGGGGAAGAGGTAGCTGGGGTTCTCCTTTTGAGACATAAGCAGGTTCCTCTCCTACAAAGTGAGCTGTATGGGTGGGTGGGTGGGGGCAGGACCAGTTCACCATAAGTAATTTGTTTCTATTGTTTACCATATGGTTCTATAAATAATAATAACAGCTTTCATTTGCCAACACTGAGTAAGTGTTTCGTGTGTATGGCTTGATCATACTGAATGAATGTAGCGTCGATGGAGTGACTGACGTCTTCATTCCTAGTGGTCTTATTCCTGCTTAGAATTCTGAGGCACAGTCTGTCTGCATATGCAATGCAGATAGACACCCAGTCACCTCACTAACAATTAGAGGTAACAGTCTCTGCTTTAAGGCCCTTCACCCAGGTAGGGAAGAAGACAACAGGTGTGATAACTGTGTCCTTAGAACGAAGTCAAGGTTCAAGGAAGCAAGAAGGATGATTACACTCACCAGGTGTAAATGTCATTGAATGTCAGAGAACGCTCCCTGGTAGGGATGATTCCTGATTCGGGATTTGAAGATTCAAGATGGATAAGGCTAACTGCTGCTCTACAGCAGGTCCACCCCATGTGGTTGTGCAGTTCGTGCACTGTACACAGGTACCCAGCCAAGAAGGTGAGTGGGAGCTGAAATCTAGCCCTTGTTCAGCTCACCAAGCCCTGACAGGGCCTGTGTTTGCTGGAGGAGTGGGATCCCTTTTCTCTGCTGGAAGGCAATCATATGCTTGCCAAGCCTTGAACACTGCCAGGCTGTGTTCTTCCAGAGGCTCTTCTTTCTCTAACAGTTCTGCTGGGGTGGGGGATGGGATGGGTGTGTGTGTGGACTTTTGAAACCACAGCAGCCATGGGTACACATGGGAAGGGTAGAGGGAAGAAGCCCATTTCCAGAACTAGATTCTAGCAATTACAAGTAGTTCAACTGTACCAGGTGAATGAAGCTGCCCTCTGCATGAATGACCTTATCTGTTATCAGTAAGGAGTATGCTTTTATCCTGAAGCAAGTCAAAGACCATTGGTAAATGGTAAATATGAAGTGGCTGGAGATGAATGGAGCAAGATTTGCATTTCAGAGAGTTCCCTCTAGCTCCTGTGTGGAGGAAGATGGCCAGAATAAGGGAGGCCAATTAGAAAAACGTGTAGTGATCCAGTCCTCAGCAATAGGACAGCTGCAGTGGAAGCTGTGGAGCTGTGAGGATGGTGAGACTAGACTAGGTATGTGGCATATCATTAGCAAAGTATGTATGGTTAATTTGTGACCCAGCTTTTCCAGAATAGTTCTGGTTTCTAATGTTCCATTCCATGTGCCCATTTGGACGTGTGTTTCCATTTTCATCACTGATGAGTAGTGTTCTATAGGATTAGGGGTGTGTGTGTGTGTGTGTGTGTGTGTGTGTGTTGTGAGGGAAGATTCTGAAGACAGAATGACCAGTTAGAAAACTTGTTTAGGTGGGAGGTAATGAGGATCTGGTTTAGAATGGTGGTAGCAGAAGAGGAAAGGAAGGGACAAATGGGAAAGCTAGTACAGAGAAGAATTGATAGGACTTGGCAACTGACTGGTATCAGCAGAAGTCTTGCTCATCTCCTGTCCACGTTGTTACCCAACTGTGGGAGAGAACCCCAGCCTTAATTTCAGCTTTATTAATTAAATGTAGAAAAGATAATAATTTGTTCCAAACACTTTCGTATAGTAATTAGAAGTTGAGCTAAACTCTGACAGATAAGATCAACTCCTCCTTTCCAAATGCCAGTTTCCATTTTTCCATATGTAATTTCCAAAGCCCATTAATGGATGGAAAGCATAAACATGTGCAATTAGGGGAGTAAATTCCCAAAGTACCCACATGTGGAGCAAAGAAAAATAGAAACTTTTTAAAGAATATTTTTATCTTTTGCTTCTGAATTAAGTTTTGTGATGTTCATTACAGTTCTCTTGTCCTTTGAATTGTTGAAAATGCGCTATTTATCATAGTTTTTAATTTAGCTGGGTTAGGAATTGGAAATATAAAACAATAGATTTTCTGAAAATAGAAGAATAAAGGTCTCACTTTTAAAAAATTTTACCAATGATTTGGTCCAAAAGACGTTTTTCTTTCTTTCATCTGTGAATGCTCTAGTTTCCCACATAGAAATTAAAACTTAATTCTCCTTAATCAAATAGTTCCAGTAAACTTACCAGTACCAGTTGCCATAGAGAAGATTCCAACTCATGGCGACCCCATGTGTGTCAAAGTAGAACTGTGCTCCATAGCATTTTCAGTGCCTGATGTTTTGGAAGTAGAATGCCAGGCCTTTCTTCCAAGGTGCCTCTGGGTGGGTTTGAACCTCTAACTTTTTGGTTAGCAGCCAAGTGTGTTAACTGTTTGCACCACTCAGGGACTCCCCAGTAATCTACACAATAAAAATAAAAATTTTTAAACGTAAGTGTTGGCTGGTGTCAACAACTTTATTGGAATAATCTAAGATAAGGACATGAACTGGCCCCCTTAGGGTACCCAGATTTACAGCCCTTAGTAAAGTAGGACTCTTCTTGTCTTTACCATTCCAGATACTTTTTTAGCCTCTCTTTTCTTCCCTGTTTTGGGTAGATCTGTGTATGGCCTACTTAGAGTTGTGATTTCTTTTTTATTCTATTTAAGCTGAGTAAGAGTCAGTTAAACATTTTTTAAAGGTAATTTTTTTAGACACTGAATCAACGTCCTGCTTTCAGTTGAGCAAACAACATAAAAATGTATATATTAGAAAAATATATTGTGTGTATGTATGTGTGTGTGTACTTGCCCAGAGAGAGAAAGCAAATGAGAAAAACCTTTTTTAAGGACAGCCTTTAGAAATAGGAGTCTTTTGTTCCCTTCAGAGACAAAATTATAACATTCAGTTGCTTTTAAACATCTAGGTTTATCATTATTTTTTTCAAGTATAAAAACTAGCTATGTATAAAATTGCTAACGTTACTCAATTCAGTGATTAAAATCCAATGAAATATGCAAAAGGAAAATCCATTAATTAGCAATAGACAAGTTATGTACAAGGCAGAGAGCTTATGAAAGAAAATCCCAAAAATTAAAAATAAACTCTGAGTTTACAGAATATACTGACTTTTCCTTACTGAGTACTTTAATTAACTTGTCTTGAGTATTCTTTAATCGTACTTTTATATTATTTTCTTAGATATCTCCACTGTAAAATAAAAATTAATATCTTTCCTAGTCTCAAAGATTTATTTATAAAGCAGTGAAATGTGTAATGTAACATTAATCAAACTATTCTTAATCATTCAGTCTTTGATGTATAAAGGTACAAGTGGGCTTGAAGAAAAAGATTTTTTTTGTCTATGTCTTTGTAATTGTTCTTTTCTCAATATCTAAAAGTAAAAAGATTTTTGAATTATATTTCTAGACCTTAAAATACTCCTTCCTTCACCATTCTGTTTGTTCCTTTATGATTATATATTTTAGCATTGAAATAAATATATTAATGCTGCTTTTGACGGAAAAAGAAATATATAAAAGCAGAAGCTACATAAAGTCCATTAAAGCTGAGTTTAGACAAAGGTCTACACAGTATGTTGATCAGAGTGTAATAACGTTATTTCTTTATAGGAGTAAAGCATATAAATTTTGTGGAGGAGGCCATCATGGTTATGATGGTGGATTGAAGAGCATGGGGGTGAGTTACTACATTTTTTTAAACCAATATTTATTGAGCACCTACTTTGTGATATTGTTCAAGACTCTTGAATCTCTTCATATCTGTGAAGAAAACAAAGATTCCTGCCCTATGAAGTTTTCATTCTAGCAGAAGAATATAGGTAATAAGCATAATAAGCAAATATGTAATATAGTGCGTTAAGTGATAAGTGCAATGGGGAAAATAAAGAAAAAAGTAGAGCAGAGTAAGGGAGAATTGGGAGTGTTTCAGGATAGCACGGGGACAGGATGCAATTTTAAAAAGGGTAGGCTTCATTGAGAAGATGACATTTGAGCAGAAACTTCAAGGAGGTGAAGGAATTAACCTTTGTAATATCCCAGGAGCAAATGTCTCAGGCAGAAGAAACAGCCAGGGCAAAAGGCCTGAGATGGGAATGGGCCTAACTGGAAGGAAGTTAGACTGGGGGTACAGCTGATTCAGGGGGAAAGAGTCTGTGTTCAGTTGGACATGTTAAGTTTCAAATATCTGTTAGACCTGCAATTAGAGGTGCTGAATTGGCAATTACAGAGAGAGTCTGTCCCGAAGATAAAAAAAAAGCAGAAAGAAAACAAAAACTGAGTTTTAGGCATATAAACGATTTAAAAGAAATGCAACTACGTAAGATCCCTAGGGATTGAGTGTAGACAGAGAAGAGGACGAGGTACTGAGCACTGAGGCAATTCTCCTTTAAGAGTTTGGGGGAGAAAATGATTTATTAGCAAAAATACTTAGAAGTAGTCACTGGTAAGGGAGGAAGAAAACTAGGGCTGTGTGGTGTCCTGGGAAGAAAGTGTATGAGGAGTTCACTGTAAAATGCAGCTGGTAGGTCCTTCATAGGTTAAGCTTTATGATTTTTGCAACCTGACTGTCTTATCTAAATCCCTAGATACAGAGATTTTCTATTAAGTAGGGCACTGTATGATAATTGAGTTAATTACTGTAAGAAAAACCTATGCCTCAAATTCTTTTTCTGATTATCTTGGAAAAACATATATATATATATATACACACACACACACACACACACACACACACACACATACCACTGTTACCAGAAAAGAATTGCTTGTCTAGGTTTGACGCTTTTCTTCTAGTTATTTACAAGGTAAAACAGATTTGTTATAAATAATGTAACTAAGTTAACGTTAATGAAATAGACAGCAAAATATTTAGGTCTCCTTATCCTAAAAGTAAAGGGGAGATGCATTTTAAGAAATAAGTAGCTTAGGAAATGGTGCAAAATATAATGCTTAGAAACTTTAATATTTTTGTCATATATTAACATATTTGAGCAATTATATGAAAGGAATATGAAAAGAATATATGATGTCATGCGTTGAATTTCTAATATATATATTGTCCAAACATTGTGAAATTGTACTGCTATTGGTTGTCCAAAGTTGCTTCTATTCTCCTATTCTGTTGACATATGAAGTGATGCGAAAGCAGGTAGAGATGGAAGTAAACACAACACAATATGGGCTATATTTGGTTGGGACTGGTACAATATCACAGAAGGAGATGATTTAAAAATAATTTTCAAATTCTGAAAAGAAATCCTTAACACAGGCCTAAAATACAAATAGAACTGTTATGGAAGGAAAACTGTCTCTTGCGATGTCTGTTTTTGTGTTTGGTTGGCATGTAGTAATAGTGTGTATATTACCACCTAGGCTATCTTTCTGGCTCATGGACCCGGTTTTAAAGAGAAGACTGAAGTTGAAGCATTTGAAAATATTGAAGTCTATAACCTATTGTGCGGTGAGTATATTTCTATAAATTCACCAGCAGATGGTGGCCATGGTTTTAACAATATGTACTTGGGAATTAGTGATAAATTGATCCCAGAGGCAGTATGCTCTACATTAAGAAGACAAAGTAGAAAAAAGATAAGGAAGAATTATTTACAGCTTTCAGTAATTGATAAACATTAGATCTCAGGAGACCAAACTTTTCCATTAATTAGCTACCACATGATAATTTAATTATAATAAAACTGGATAAATAAAATGACACTTCACACTTTACAAAGCAGGAAAAACACAAGCTAAAAACACAAGTATTCTCTTGAAATTACTAGGAAGGCTTGCGGCATGAAAGAGTGGTGAGAAAGCCTATTTGGAAACACTTATTGTTATCATACCCAATGTGAGGAAGAATTATACTTTCTTAAAGAATTCAAGTTTTAGAAAATCTCCTGTACCTTTCTGCCTACATGCTTGTCTCAGACCACTGTATTAACAATTCATTTACCTAGGCAAAGCAAACAGTAAGCGGCAATTTCACCTTTCGCTTTAAGAATTTCAGTATAAATATGTTCAAATTATATCTCTTTTAATCTCATCACTGGCTTGTGGTGATTGACTGTGACTTAGAGACCAAAAAATATGAATTTAAAAATACCCTGTTGCAGCCTTAACAACTTAAATTCTTAGTTCCCTAGGACGGGTTTGTGGTCAGGGCTGCTGACTCTTGGAGAGGAGGGTTAGAAGGAATTAGATAGGATTCCAGGCCTAGAGAAATCTATTTGGTGGTACTAAGTAGGAGCCACTCAAAAGATTATGTGTGTAAAATGTTTGTATGTCTTGTTTCTATAGAAGAAAATTGGAAAAGGTTCTCTAGATAGTAAATAAACTGTACTAGTTTGATATTTTTAAAATATCTCTATCCTTAAAGAATTTTCATGTAACTAAGTAAATATACTGCAAGTAAGACTGTACATCATTTAACTTCTTTAAACTTGTTTTTACTAAGGGCATACATAGCTTTTTATACTAGCAAACTGTAACGTGTGTGTTTAAGGAACAACGTGATCACTGAAGCAAAGATTCTTTCCTTTGGTGGAACAGAAACAGTTCATGAGAGTTCCTATGGCCCATCTTCAGTGACTGTTCCTATTCTCTAGTAAGACGAGGTGTTGGAAACTCTGGGGAAAAGAAGTCAGTAAACTGAACGGCATATGCAGTACACAAGTGCATTAAAGCAGCATTTAATAAAGGAAGTAAAAGAGTAGATATTTGCTGTAACCATGGGTGATGGGGAAACAGTAACAGAAGTATTTTGAGAACAAGTTACCCCTTTCCACAGGAAACAAAAGAGGAAAATGACTTTTTAAAAGTGAGACGATAATTAACAGAAGGTACACTTTGTTGTTCCAAATATGCGCTGTCCATCCTAGAAAAGAGCCAGATCTTAATATCTGGACACAACTCAAACAAAATACTAATACTTTAAGACAGCAACTAACAACAACAACTTTTTGTTTTAAAAGCTCAAGGGCCATTTCATTA